GTGGGCTCCACCCTGTATCTGTGTTTGGTGGATTGGTGACTGCTGGAGACTGAACATTTAGGTGTGAGAGATACGCTTCACTTACCATTCTCATGTTTAAGTGTAGGGGAGAGCTAAAAGGTCACCCAATTGATAAATGACTACGTGTTCTGTTGAAGAGGAACACGCAGGGACTATTTTCACTCTTCTGGAAATCATGATTAGAGCCTTCAAGGAGAAGGTCAAGGCACTAAACCAAAGCCGGCAGGGAGGACGACCAAAGACCTGTTCACAATGCCCGGAGAGTCCCTGCCAGAGCCTGGGGCCAGAGCCTGTCCTTGGCCTTGCTCCTAACTGGCTTCCTTGTGGGTAAGGGAACTGTCTGGGGATTCCCCATCATTCATGAGCTCTTTGAGTGACCCCCTTTCAGCCCCTCCAGTAGGGAATTTCCCAGAATGTTCCCACACCCCCATGAAGCCTCTTCCTTAACCACCCCCAAGCTGCCTGTAGTTCAGGGTTGGCATCAACCTTCAAGCTTCAGAGCTGGGGGTGAATTATGAGCATTATTGTCTGGATTTGTAAGAGGTGGGAAAGAGGAAAGATGATATTGGAAAGCCGACAGGGCTGAAGCCTCCCAGGAGCTAATTACCAAACATCGTAAGATTTAAACAAACGTCAAAGACAAAGAGAATAGGGTAGGCACAGACTCCGAAGCCAGGCTGCCTCATTCAAGTGGTGGTGCTGCCTCTTTATAAGCTGTGTGACCTTGAACAGGTTACTTAACTTCCCTGTACTTTTAGGTTGTCCTCTTCTGCAAAATGCAGATAATCATGTTATCTACCACAAAGATTAAAGATAATAATACCTGTCAAATACTTAAAAGAGTGATTGGTACATGGTAGCATTCAATAAATGTGACTTATGAAGTCAAGCTAGACTATTCTCTTAAAAATTTGGTTTCCACTAATTTTTCTTGTACAAATTGAGTCTACGTCCCTCTGCCCCCTGCGACCTTCTCCTTGGCATTCACACACACTCCTTCCTAACAAGTGGACCGGGTTAAAGGCTCATACACTCAGGTATTTAGTTTGGAATCTGAAATATTCGAGAGCCGAAGAGGGCTTGGAGATTTTCGAAGCTAATGGGTCCTTCTAATGTTTTTCAACATTCACTGCACTGGGAGCCTCTAGCAACCCAATGCCAGACTACACCCCAGACTGCTTAAATCAGAATCAGGTACCAGGACTGGTAAAGCTCCCCAGGGGGTCCCATGGATCCCAGGGTGTGGCCGAGGTTGAGAACCATTGTTGTGGTCCAGTGTTCCTGTTCTAACCAGAACAGGGGCTCAGAGAGGGAAAGCGAGTCACAGAGGCTCACCTAACCAGGACCCCAGTCCCCAGTTACTGCTGATGGAACCCGCTATCACCATGTGCTCTGGACCTCACTCTGTATGTGGAGGAAGGCCTGGCTGTGAGTGAGCTCTCTAAAAGAAGAGCTGGACAGAGGATTCCCTCCCATCTCTGGGCAGGAATGCAGACGATCCGCTCCTCGACTGGAAGAGTGTGACCAACTCGGGGTTCCAGTGTGGTGTTTAAAGATCACCAAAATCGAGACCCAGTGCTCTTTCGGGACACTGTAGGGCAGCCGAGGACTTCTTAGTGATTTCTGAAGACCTTCGGTCACTTAAGTCACCGGTCTCTCAGGGGAAGCACTGGGTATGCCAGAGCAAGAACGGGGCTGAAGATGGGAAAGCCTCCAGCCAAACCCTCTCTTGCCCCTATGTGGTTATGGGGCTTTGGGTCAGTCGCTGAAGTGTCTGGACCTCTGATAAAATCAGTGTCTTGAGGCAAATTCCAAAGCCCTCTCTCCCAGCAGTGCTGCCACCAGCCTGTGATCATTCGGAGGGGGTATTTTGGGTAGCTTTGTCCCAGGGTCTCAGTTGGCCTCATCTGAGAAGTGGGGATCATGGCAAGGGCTGGCCTCCCGTGTCCATCTCAGGGGGTTACCGTGAGGAGCCTGAAGGACAGAAAGGAATTATGAAAAGCGGAAAGCAGGTCAGGCAGAAGCCCAGATGCCGGCTTTACCGCTCCCTGACTGACAGAGGACATGCGTGTGAGAGGCCAAAATTTCCTTCCCAAACATTCCTCTCCCCTTCCCGCTGAGTCCTAGGTTTCCAGCTGCCACTGGGAAGGGAAGGGAAATGGGGGGATGTGGTCATTGTACCTGTGAGTAAACACCTGCTCCCATTGGCCACGGCTAGTTTGTCCCCGTGTGAGTGCTTTCCAGCGCATGACTGCCCCAGGGAGGGTCAGAGTGGACTGAGCTGGGGACATTTTGGGAGGAGGCCACCCCCCCCACACCCCCCAGCCACTTCCTCCTGCAAGGGAAGTCGAACTCTTGCTCTTGCCAGTGTCTGGCTGGCTGCATGGTCCCTGGGCTGCCTGGTCTGGTTTCTCTGGGGCCCTAGCAGGAAACCGTCTTGCTTCCCAAGGTAAAGACAAGCTTCTTGTCACAGGTGGTTGTTTTCTGGTCAGAGGCAGCGGTGGTTGTGAACCCCCTCGCAGAGCTCTGGAATCTGCAAGCCAGGAGGGGGTGGTGGCGGTGGGGAGCGAAAGCTAGAGAGAGCTCAACAGAGCTCGCTTGGGGAGGAGGAAGAACCTGCTGTCACTTCCCGAAAGCTGGGCCTGCCTCTAGGCCTCTAGGCGGGGAGAAGGTCAGAGCGGTTGGTCCCTGTGGCCCGCCTACCCCACCCCTCCCTTCTGCCTCGGGGTTTGCCCAGGCTCTTCAGAGCACAGAATTTACAGTAAACGTTGTCACCAGTGGAAACTCTCAGAGGGGGCGAAGAAAAGGGCTAGAGGAAGGGGCGAGGACTCCCGGCCCCCAGTTCCCGTCTTAAAACCACCCCCCCACCCAGTCTCATGGGTTGCTTCCTTTTACCTTTCGGTAAAGAGGGGATGCCCTGTCTCTGGGATGTGCCTGGAAACAAGGAAATGGTAAGATAACGGAGCCGCCACACCTTGCAGAAAAAGCGGGTGCCTCTGACTCCACCATCGTTGGTCTGAATGTCCTGCCCACCCCCATCCCATTTCAGAGATGGGGGTTTCCTTTGTACTGACCTCGGCACCATTTTCTAGCTCAAAGCCACATACAGGAAATGCCAGGCTAGGGCTGAGCCTGCTTGTATCCGTCCTTCACAAGAGGATGGAAGCCGGCCTGATGGGTAAGGCCACAGGCATAAGCTCCTCTACCACTTAAAAAGGAACTCTGGGGTTCACGGATTAGGGCAGTTGCCAGCCTACCTAGCTCTCTCATTGGACCACAGCTCCTGCTCCTGGTGGGTTATGCAAGTTATCTTACACCTGCTCACTGCCCATCAGGGTTTCAAGTCAACTGTTCCTCTAGCCATCGGTGTCATTAGCCAGTCAATCGGTGTCATTAGCCAGTCAATCAGCAGACATTTGAGTTCATACTGTGTGCCAGGCACCTAACGAATAGGCACTTGGTAAGTGCTTGACTGATTAAAACCAGTGTAATAGTGTGTTTAACTTATGTTTTTAAACTTGCCTGATCGTTAGTTAGATGCCCTGAGGCACTTGTTAAAAACTCAGTGAATTCCCAGATTTCACCCCAAATCACAAACCCACTGAGTTCAAATCTCTAGATTTCAAGAACAGCCTGAAACTCTAATAAGCCCTTCAAATAATTCTAATACTTTGGCCATGCTGACCTAAGTCAAACAAAACTAGAAATATTAAGGCCTGGTTGCCAGCTCAGGTTGATTTTTTTTTTTAAAGATTTTATTTATTTTTTTGTCAGAGAGAGAGAGAGAGAGCGTGAGAGTGAGCACAGGCAGATAGAGTGGCAGGCAGAGGCAGAGCAAGAAGCAGGCTCCCTGCTGAGCAAGGAGCCCGATGTGGGACTCGATCCCAGGACTCTGGGATCATGACCTGAGCTGAAGGCAGCCGCTTAACCAACTGAGCCACCCAGGTGTCCCTCAGGTTGATTTTTTGAACTGAAGTGTAACTTACCTCTCCAGTGCCCTTTTCCCTTCCTCTGTGGCATCAGGGATTAGATGAGTCAATGTGTTTGATTGACTCAAGGAATGTGAACCTTCAAATCACATTGGAAATGCAATTCCCTTAGGTAGCTTTGTTTTCCAGTACACACTAATTACCAGAGTGGAATTATTGATTAATTAATGATGTGATCAGGAATCAGCACTCTTGGACCCAGAGTTTGCCTGATTAGTGTTTATCTGATGGTGTTCTTAACAACAGGGGAAAGGTGTTTCTGGGAAAAAAAAGCACATATGCCTGGACGGAACACACGCAGGGTTCTTTAAACCAGGCTCTCGAATGGACTGGCCAGCAGAATGAAACCAGCCAGCAGAATGAACTGGAACTGAACCTTGTGGTGGGTTTTGACCACTTGATGTTTATAAAGACCCTGGTGTTCTAGAATCTGGTTAAGTAGACAGTTAACCATGGACTCCGTTAGGCTAAAAGCCCACCCTGGAAACATTCAGAGAGCTTGCGGTGTAACATTGGGTGGAAAAGCATGAAATTAGTATAAGCTGTTCTCTCAAACTCTTTTCCATTTTTTCAGGCTCTCACCTGTCAGCCTGTTTCCCATAATATACACTTGCCCCTCTCAACCCACATACACACTCGCAGAGACCCACATACACACGCACACGAAGGCGCACACTCCCACCCATTCCCACGTGCTCCTCTATCAGGTGAGATCCTACAAAGCTGCCACCCTTATAGGGCAAACGGACAAAGCCCTGCAATTTTATGGGTTCGAGCTTGTATCTGGGCACACACATGCGTTTATAAATGCATCCATGCTCTCATACGACACATGCAAATACATGCACACACACGTGCAGAAAAAAATCACTGATGCCCCTCCCCGCGGCTGTGCTGGTGAGAAGTGAACCTGTCTCCTCCCGCTCCCAGTTCCTCCCATCCTGTGCCTTCCTAGAGACTTATCTCTGATGCTGACTTTTCTCCTCACAGGAGAGCGAAGACCTAGAGAAACAGAACGCGGCTCTGCGGAAGGAGATCAAGCAGCTCACAGAGGAGATGAAGTATTTCACGTCGGTGCTGAGCAGCCATGAGCCCCTGTGTTCGGTGCTGGCCGCCAGCACGCCCTCGCCCCCCGACGTGGTGTACAGCGCCCACGCTTTCCACCAGCCTCACGTCGGCTCACCTCGCTTCCAGCCCTGACTTTCCAGACATGGGGTGGTGGGGGACGGAGCCCCCCGGCCCCCAGCTGCCCTGGCAGGCCTCAGGAGGGGCACACGGACTGTAGCCAGGCTGCCCTCACCCCCCCCAGGGCCCTCTCTCCATCTGGAGACCCGGATGCAGAGGCCCAGACAAGGATTGAGCACAAGACTGGAGCAGCTGGGAGTGTGGGAGGCCACACAGTGGTGTCGCCGCCTGTCTGTGTGTGCTGAGCCCCCATTCGGATGGGAGGCCCAATCCAGAGTTCGACCAGACATGATGCCCGAGACCCATGGCATTGAGGGAGGAGGGCAGGAGAGGGCGGGGGTTATTTTTCTAAATAAATTTCTTAAAAGAAACCAGTTTGGCAAACAATTTTCTTCTTTTACACACTTCCTTGAAACCCTAAGTTCTGTGAGGTTGGCACCTTCTTTTGTCCTTGGTCTCGAGACTCATTAAGGCTCCGTAGATGGCTAATATCTCTTCTCTCCCATGGTTTGTTAGCCTACTTGGGAAGCTGGGGCTTTTCAAAGCATCTTCAGTCCTCCCTGGAGGTATCTTCTTGGTTTCCTCCCCCAGTCACCTCACGATGACCTCCACTTTCCATTCCTCACCGCCTCGTCTTTCCTGGATTGTCGGCAGGCCAGGCTCCAGACGTGGGGAAGGACCAGTGTGAGATGCTCTTCAGAGGAAGGGTCAGCTACGCTCCCTCAGCTCGGCCCAGACAGCCAGCCCTGGAAACTGCTGCTTGCCGTGCCCTAGGCAAGGGGTTCCAGTAACACAATGGCAACCCCAGGAAGACACTGCCTCATGCGCTCACGAGGCAGTGTGTGGCTTGGGTCCATGGGGACGTTCTTGCTAATGGGCCTACATTGGGCTCCACAGGCTGCCATTTTGAGCACAGTTTGAGGGCAGCAGGGCCTCGTCAACACAGGCTTGTCTTCCGGTCTTCAGATTGACTAGTTTGGGCAGAGCCTGAACCCAGTATGTTCTGGTTCCCCTGCTCCAAAGTCCACCTGTTCCTCACAGATGCCTGGGCTGAGTGCCCACTGGCCTGCACAGCACACACAGCCTCACCCAATGGCGGGCCCTGCCCACACCCACAGCCTCCACTGAGTCATCCGGGGACAAACGTGACAGGGAGGTGTCTGGTTCAGCCCCTTCAGCGGCCACCTCATACTCATCCTTTGGTCCTTCAGAGGGACAGCCCCTGTCCATGGTCTCCCCATGGGCACCTATCTTCGGATGGTTGGGATGGTGACCACAGGGAAGGAGTGGAGCAGCTCTGTTTCCCTGGGCCAGCTCCTCCTCAACCTGCCGGGCCGATAGCTGGGGTTGGTTTGATCCAAGGTCTCAACCCTGGGCTCCCCCCCACGAGTCTCTCCTACCCCGCTGGGATCTCACCGGTGTTGGGCTAGTGTGACTACGGACCTCTGCAGAGCTCTGTAAGAGCCATGTCCCAGCATGTGGGACCACCTGTCCTCCTTGTAGCCTGTCTATGGGAGGAGTCCACCCCAAGGGCCTCTGAGGGCACACTGGTACCCACGGTCCGCTCAACCCTGAAGCTGATGCCTGTGGATGCCCAGAGTGCGGGCACTGCATGCAGAACCTGCTGGAGACAGCTCAGAAGACCTTCCCCAGATATCAGCATTGCTTCGGAGGCAGAATCTGACATTTTAATCTCCGGTCTCCTAAAATACTTGGTAAATGGGGCTTCCTCTCCCTGCACGGGCTCAGTGTGGACTGGGGTGGTGATGAGGGGCTGCGGCAAGGAAGACCCGCTCTCACAAGTTTCTTCAGGGTCTGGGCAGAGCAAAGAAGCCGGGGGTCACTCCAGACATTATGGGCATCGTATAGAATTCATTTGTCTTTCACATTCTCAGGAAGCAGAACTTAAGGCTTTGCTATGTTTACAGTCAACTCCATGAAGGCCCGGCCTCTCATGGGAGGTTGGGGCAAGCTTCCTTCCAATCAGAGGTTTTCCTCCCCACCCCTCTCCAGCACTGTAATTTTCCCCCAGAAACCCCCGCAGAAGGCACATGACCTGTGCTAGGCATCTACTGAATGACCCTCGGGGCCGAACTAGAAAAGCAGGGCTCACGTGCGTGGTTCCCATCTCTTGACAAGAACTGCTCTTCCTCTTTCATTCTCTACTTTCTAATGACCCTGGGCAGTTCTACTTCTCCTTTCTGGTTAGTCTGGTAAAGAAAGCATCAAGCTGAGCCTAGGGTGAGTGCTAGTGTTGACTTCATCTCCACACAGGAATGTTGGAGGGGCAGCTCTGAATCCATTCGAACTTCCAAAGCTCTGACCAGGATGTCCCCACCACCAGCTCTGTCCCAGCCTCCTGCCCCTGACAGGGATCACTCCCTCAGGTCAGTGGGCCATGGACCCATGCTCAAATGCCTCCATGGCTCAGGCATCCTCTGTAAATACATGAAGCTCACCAGAGGTAGGGCAGTTGGGAGTGGTGGGGAGTGTGGCAAACTGAGGAGTGAATGCTTATCTGCCTAAAGCAGGCAGCTGCCCCTCAGTTCTCTCCCGTGCTGCCATGTGGGAGTGTGGCCCCAGGGTTGCCATATCTGCCAATGTGTCAAGAAAAGTCTGAATCAGGGGCACCTGGGTGACTCAGTGGGTTGGGCCTCTGCCTTTGGCTCAGGTAGTGATCCCAGGGTCTTGGGATTGAGCCCCACTTGGGGCTCTCTGCTCAGCGGGGAACCTGCTTCCCCTCTTCTCTCTCTCTGCCTGACTCTCTGCCTACTTGTGATCTCTGTCAAACAAATAAATAAAATCTTTAAAAAAAAGAAAAGTCTGAATCAGAATTTATGCATGAAATCTTCCAATTTTCAAAACACTCTGCAGACCAAACAAAATAGGTTTGTAGAGGAGGTCGGCCCCTAACAAAAGTACAGAAGCCACGTACCATGTGTCTAAATACTTACACATTAAAAATCAAGCTTATAAAACAGACTACATTAAACAAAACATGCTCTTTCTCTAGCAAATATATCTGCACAACAACCTGGAAGGTAGGGTTTGAATTTTTTTTTTAAGATTTTACTTATTTATTTATATGACACAGAGAGAGAGAGAGAGCACAAACAGGGGGAGCGGCAGGCAGAGGGAAAGGGAGAAGCATGTTCCCCGAGGAGCAAGGAGCCTGATGTGGGGCTCAATCCCAGGATCCTGAGATCATGATCTGAGCCAAAGGCAGAAGTTTAACTGACTGAGCCACCCAGGCGCCCCTGAATTTAGACTTCTTTGACGCTTCAGAATGGTGTGTCCGCACGAGGAAGCACAGGGACAAACGGCTCCAAGACGGCAGGCTGTCCTCTCCCGATCCCTCCCCCGGTTCTTCCTTGGCAGCCTCATGTCCCTGCTGGTGCACATCCCGGCCCGCCAGACTTGGTTCCATCTACACCCCTCCCCCACGGACAGCCTTCCCTTGGCCACCCCTGGGGTCCAGGGGTGCATATACCAGTGGTCTGGTCTACCTTGAAGAAGAAATATCCAGGGAAGAGGGCTACAACTTCTGGAAGCCAGCTTCGGGTCACCCAGGCAGGGGTCTCTGGAATTTCCTGGGTATACAGAGCATGCTTTAAAAGGGGACAGAGGAGGGCACCTGGGTGGCTCAGTCGATTGAGTGTCTGACTCTTGATTGCAGCTTAGGTCACGATCTCAGGGTCATGGGACTAGTGCAGAGTCTGCTTGAGATGCTCTCTCTCCCTCTGCCCCTCCTCCTTCCCTCCCTCTCTCTCTCTCTCTCTCTCTCTCAAATAAATAAATAAAAAATCTTTTCCCCCCAGATTATTTATTTATTTGTCAGAGAGCAGGGAGAGGGGCAGACAGGGGGAGGGGCAGGCAGAAGGAGAAGCAGGCTTCCCACTGAGCAAGGAGCCAGATGTGGGACTCGATCCTAGGACCCTGGGATCGTGACCTGAGCTGAAGGCAGACGCTTAACAGACTGAGCCACCCAGATGTCCTAACAAATAAAAATCTTAAAAAAGTAAAGATAAAAAATAAAAGGGGACAGAAAGCCCTGGATAGGCATGACCCCTTGGGTCTAAGGACTCCTTGCCCCAAGGGAAAGGGACTAACAGAAGGGTCAGTGCCTGTTCCCGTCACGTGGTGAGAAGAGCATAAGGACCTCTTCCGCCCAGGGCTGAGGTGGCTGTGCAGAGGTCTGCGAGTTGTAACTCTGATCTCGGTCAGTGAGGTTGCCCCAGAAAGCCCAGTCTCAGGCAAAGCTCCGTGCAACAAGAAATGGGCACATGACAGTGTCGTCTCTATCTGTGACTTCTATGTGAGGGTTCCTGGGGAATGTTTATTTCCCCACCTGCCACCCTCTGTGTCTGTCTCTTACCAGCAGTGTTATTCCCTGAGTTAGTGTCAAAGCAAATTACAGGAAAGCCAGATTTTTAGTCTTCAGATTGAGAAGTGTGGGTGGGGAGAGAAAGGGAGGCAAAGTCAACTGAAAGTTCATGGGGTTGCCATCTGCTGGACCCAAACTTACCAGCAGTGTTTATTAATACCTCCAACCAAAGTCCCAATGTGGCTGTAGCTTTACAGTAAAGGAGGTGAGCCGGACAGGGGGCCCCACTTCTTCTCAGGACAGACATGCTGTCTCTCTCTCTGGTCCCCTAGCCTCCTTCCTCTCTCGGGTTTCAGTGTCCCAAATCCCCGCTGCTCAGGATTCCAAGGGAGAGAAAGGGCTCATGGACTTAAGACCAATGCTAAGGTTGTGGATTAAATCATCTTTTATGTCTGCCTGAGAGCACGGGCATTTCTAAGAAACACCCAGAAAGAGTGATGCCCAACCCAAAATGGTGGCATTTGGAGCAAGTGTGTAGAGCAGATATTTAATGGAATTGTTGCCACGTGAATGACCAGTTACAACACCGGCCTCACGTGGGTCTCAGGGAAACAGGAAATGAGGGCACAAAGAGAACATCCCTCCTAAAAATTTTGTTTTTCAACTGCTCCAAAGATCATTGAATTCATCTCCTTCCAGAAAAATAGAATAAAAACTTGATCTTTGTTTAAAGACTCTACCAACAGTCAGAAACAAGAAGGAATTAGGGACATTTTCACGGACAAACTCCATTGCTGCCTGGGAGTGAGTCTGGTTCCTTCTGGAAGAGTACTGGTAAGAGAGCTTGTAGGTATAGCCCCTATACCTACAAACAAAGGCTAGGAGCAGTGGCAGGAACTGAAAATTGATCTCTCAAAGCCATTCTCCCCCTTTTTCTAATTACAGAATTCTCAATTTTGTCTAGGATAGCAATGTACCCAGCTAAAAAGAGTAATTTCCCAGACTCCCTTGCAGCTAGGGATGACCATGTGACACAGACCATTGAGATAC